CAGCCGTCTCTGGAAATCCTACTCCAGTCGTGAAGCTCTTTGTTGCTGTTGTTCAAATATACACTTGCTGCAAATGCTCCACGTGTAGTGGCTCATGATTTTGCGAAGGACAGTGTGGGCTGAAAAGCGTCAGTCACTCCCCGGACCTTTTGTCCCCCCTAACGGTAGTGTGAAAACAGAATGCGCAAGGCAAGAATGCCAGGTTCCTCTGGCCTCTTTGTTGCCACTGGCTGCCCCGAGTGTGTCCTGTACAGGATGTTGTTGTACTCCTGCTTCGAATAGACATTTTGAGTCTCAGCCCTGAGCCCACCTCACAATAGCCTAAAAGGAGTGGCCTGTTCCAGAGCAGCACTTATCAGGCCACACTCCATACCCACAGTGGGCCACGTGCAACAGACCCTACCGCAGCATCCCCATTGGTACTGGGGAACTGGGGCGTCCTGGTGTAAGGGGCAGCCAACGCAAGACTTAGCAGGACCTTTTGGATGTGGGGGTGGGGTGATGGTGACCAAGACCAGATGGACTGGGCCAGAGGCAGAGGCAGAGAATGAGCAGAGGTGGGGCCCTGCCCTGAGACCAAATGTCCACCTTTTGATCCCAATACCTGGAGCCTGTGCCCTTTCTAACTTATTCAGAGTTTTACCCCACCACGATGATGTTCAGACCTCCTGGGTGGGGACCTTTCGGAAGTCGGGGCCTGGCCGGGGCCATTGCGGAATATGCCACTGGGAACCCAGCCTGCTGGGAGAAGACTCCCATGGCCAGGTCCGTGTCTTGCCTGAGTGGCCCCGTTCTGCACATTGGCAGCACCAGCTGTGGAAACAACACAGAGGGATCCCTATTGCTTCTTCCCCCCGTTGTCAGGGGAGCAGCCAGAGTAAGTGTTGTTGTGAAAGACCCTGATTTCCCACCTCACATACCCACACACTGTCACTTTCTTGCTGGCTGGGACATTTCCAAGCAATGCCCACCTCCACCTTGGCCTCCTGGACAACAGGCAAAGCCCAAGACGTAAGCCCACCAGTGGCTGTAAGAAGTCCGTTTCAAGTAAAATAAATCGATTGTGCTTTAAAGGAAATATTTAACACTAATGACATTCAAATAACAAACATTTCCTATGAAGTGGGTTTTCCATACCATGGAAATTCAACCTGAATTGTATAAGAAAATGTCCTAAGCATTTCGCCCAGAAACACAGAAAAAATGAACTTGTATCCTCAGGCACCTTCATCAGTAGGGAGAACCATCTTGGAAGCTTTTTGAAAGTAAACTGAGGTGAGGAAGTGTTAGTCCAGAAGTAGAGGACTCGAACCCGGTGAAGGGATGGAGCTGGACAGAGGGGCTGCCCAGGGACCCACAGTGGACAGTTTAACTTCTTCCTTCCCTAGCTTTATTCCTTTTATTTCTTTCTCTTGTCTAATTGCTGTGGCTAATGTTTCCAGAATTACACTGAATTGGAGTGGTGATATTGAATATCCTTATCCTGTTACTGATTTTAGCATGAAGCTTTTCAGTTACTGACCAGTTAGTATGAGACCGGCTGTTGGGTTTTCAGATATAGCCTTTTTCACACTGTGATAAAGACCATCTATTCCAATTTTCCATAGTGTGTGTGTGTGTGTGTGTGTGTGTGTGTGGTGTGTGTGTGTTTTGTCATGAATGGCTGTTGACTTTTGTGACTTCATG